CAACCTATTTAAGTTCATATAAATATAGACAAAATGGGTAAACATGAGAATCCATATGTCACGATCCAAGGGTATCCCTAGATGTAACATGGCGTACAAGACCCCGAATTAGATTGCTCATTGTCTTGCTAGAGCATCTGTTTTGTTGTCTGGTTCGATGTACTCGTTATCGATGTACTCGTTTTTTATTTGAATAATACAAGATGAAAAAAATGATAGTAATTCATAGTTGCATCAATGCAAATAAAGCATTTTAAAATGGGTTGAATAAGAGATTATTAGGCTAAATTGAAGATCTTTTTTCAAAGGGATAATGCTTGAATGAGTTGAAATTGACCCAATTTAAATTATCTTGATTCCAATCCATTAATTTCTAGACGACTTGAACAAATCTATATTATATATCTATAAAGTTGAAAATAAACACGCTGATATGACATGCTTCATTGGTCAGCATTACTATTTATCTATTTTTTCAGAATTTTGATTTTTTTTAATTTTCTGTTCAAAATTCTTTTAATAATTAACCTCTTTCCTCATTATTAACATTTACTACATTTAGCTTTTCTTTCCAAGTGAATTTATGCAACGTTTTTTTAAAATTTTTTTTTAAAGGTGTGAGGCTCAAAGGCCTCCTTTAATAAAACAAAAAATCTGTACAACTTGCCACTAGCCCAACAAAGACAAAGCAACAAAATAAATAAAATAACAAAACAAAAAACAAATGGACAATTAAATTACGGTCCCACGTAGCTTCGGTTACTTTTGATGCTATTAATCACCAATAATCAATTGACATCATTCCTTTACTTATGCATACTTTATTTTCGTGTGTATAATATACTCCTGATACATTTTCTTTTGAGGTCTCAGGTAACTGTTTTCTCTTTTCTGTTATTTATATTTATTTTCTTCTTTTTAAATTTTTATTATTTTATTCTTGATCTTTTGATTTTAATGTCTATATGTTATCATCAGTTTATAACATGCTTATTAATATAGAGCTTTTTGATATGAAGATCAAAAGTCAGAATTTCTTTTTCTCATCAAAGTCATTGTTATTTAAGTTTTTGTAAGATTTTATTTTATTTTTTATAATTTAAGTATAATTTTTTTAAAGTCGTTAATTTATATGAATATGTTTATCTCTCTCTCTTCTCTAAATTTATATTTAATAATAAGGTTATGTATAGACAAAGTGATGTGATATTTTTTTATGATCAATTTTTCTTTTTTTTAAGTGTAATTTTTTTGAAGTTGTTAATTTATATGAATACGGTTATCTCTCTTCTCTAAATGTATATATAATATAAGGTTAGGTATAGACAAAGTGATATTATACTTTTTATGACCATTTTATTTGTTGAATCTATTGTTGTAATAATAAAAAGCAACGAAAATTATGAAGGCAATAAAAAGACGTAAAGAAAAATGCCATTCATATCTACATTTAATATAAATCTATAAATAATTAAAAGTTATATAAAAGAAAAGTAATGTGATACCTCTTTTTGGCCTAGATCCTATTTATCTTTTCTATTTTTTATGACAATTATTTATTAATTAATTAATTACTATTATAGTACAAACTAAATGTGTTATATATATATTCTCCATTTTTTGACATTTTTCTTAATGTTTTCTATTTATATGATTTATTCGAAAACGTAAAAGAAATTATTTGTTACCTTAAATTTGCAAGAAAATATATGGGTCATTTATTGATCATTATTGTTACCTATTATTTTGCGCTAATTACTTGTTCTTCCTCGTAACATCCCCTAAATTCTTTCTTTATTTACGTTTTAATTCTTTTTAATTGATAATTTTATTTACCTTAATAAATGTCAAGATATCTTTTTAAGACTTGCAATCAATATTATCACAAGAGAAAAATATGTGTGCATGATTTTGCTCAATTCAATTAATATAAGGGATTTTAATTTTATTTCTCGATTATCAAAGGACATAAAAAAAAGTTGTGTTTAAAATATCAATATCACTATACGTGATTAATTTTTATATTCACAAATTTTGTATGATTTCTAACGCATTCGAATACGCCAACGAGAATCCGATGAAAAAAATACAATATTACTTCAACACTTTTCAAAAATAATATCGTTTTGATTGATGCCGCTCTAAACTAATTGATAGTGGCATCGAAGTTACGTGTGATTAAAGATGAAAAAGGAAAAGGATGAAGAATACTTAAAATAAGAGTTATTTCGATATCCTTATATACTTTACAAGACATAATAATGAATATTATCATAAGAGAAAAAAAGAGTTGACGATTAGATAAAATTAATAGGAGACTAGCGAAGATGAATTTGAAGTGAAAAAGCAAGAAAAAAAGAAAAAGATAGATTTGATTTATTATATTTTATAAAAGAAAGGTAAATGAAAAGGCAAAAATTGAAGAAAAGTGATGACTGAAATAAGTCATGAAAAGGAAGTAAATATTTTTTTTATTCTCTACTATGTGATAACATGAGGTGATAGAAAACACGATATGAAAAGGAAGTAAATATTTTTTTTATTCTCTACTTGTGATAACATGAGGTGATAGAAAACACGATAGCATATAGATGTGACTATAATACAAGTTGAGACGATTATTTATATAGTAGTCATTCTTTTTAAATTTAAAAATTTTAATATATATATCTATTTATTTTATACTACCTTAAAAGTATGAACTCTCTAACACAAAAAAAAGGCGTTGGTGGAAAGGGCATGAAGTTGGAGAGAAGTGTTCCAACACAACCAAGAAAAAAAAATATCATGAGTTGGAAAGAAAGTGCTCCAACACTAGTTATTTATGATATTTACTTATTTATATTTAATTGGGATTTGTTAGTTAGAGTAGCTCCTAGTCATAGTTTAATTTGATTTTTATTTTTATAAATAGGGATGTCACTAGTTATTTTCAATACACAGTACAGAAAATATAGGAATACACAGAAATATACATAAACATATAGAACTTTTGAATTTATAAAAAAAATATTTTCTTTTACAATTGATACATAATACAAACACAGGTTATACAAAATACAAATACAATTGTCTTAATATAATTGATATAAAATACAATTTTTTCACTTATATATAATTGAATGCAATTGATATATAATACATTTGACTGAGTGGATGAATACATATTGTATATTAAGATTTGTTTAATGGGGGTGGAAGAAGATTCAACAAAAGATGACCCAATTCGACTATTTACCAAAATAGTCAACAAAAGCCAAGCTACATTACATGACAAGTCCTTTTCTACAATAAAAGGCAAGCTATAGTACACGACAACTACTAAAGAATATATCTATATATTACTTTAGAAACATATACAAGATTTATGATAAACAAAATCATTACTCCATTTATTATTATTTTTTCAAAAAAATATTATTTTATTATTATTCTAATATTTTGATTTTAAAAATTAATTTAAGTTATAACTATTAATTTTTTACTTATTTGTAATAGATAACAACTCTTATTATTTAGTACTTTAGAAATTAGAATTGACCAATTTTTTTATTTATTTGAACTATATTAAAAGTCTTAATAATTAAAACTTCAAAATAAATATTTTACTGTATATAAATCTTACTTAAATTATGATAAACCAAAAAAAATTAAAGAAAGAGGTTCACATTTTCTTAGAGAGGTGGAAGAGGTAGATGGCAGGGGCTTCTAGCTAATACCATATCAAATTACACATACAAGTACACACCAACTTTTAAAGAAAGTTTATTTTCTGTTCTTACTTTATATTCCCATAGTTTACACAATTATATAGGTATGAGGATACTAAGCACTCTAAGAATAGAGACAATTTGCACATAATGAAACAACCATTACATTAAACTCAAGAAATACTATTTTTTTTTGTACTATATTATAATTTAAAACTATATTTTAGACTATATTGTTCCTTTAGTTTTTGTATTTGAAAAGAAAAATTGGGTCATCTATAATAAATTTTACAAGAAAATTAGTGAACATAAATAAATTTGACCATCAAAATAATAAATTTAAACTAGTCATTAGAACCAAAAAAAAAAAAAAAAAATATGTGTGAGGAGGATTAAATAAACCCATATGGGATTATATATATGTTTTAAAATAATTAAAATTAAATTAAAATTATTTTTTTCACTTCCATTAGAGGAAAATGATATATGTGAGCCATTTGTATAACAGTAGGGGTGTATATATGAACCATTTTCATAACGAGTGGTATATTAGCTCTAAATGAAAAAATTTAAGGGTATATCGAGCACTTTTTCCATGATATTAAATAGAGGAGTTTATGTTTTATGCATCATTAATATACTAATTTTTTTTAGGTATTAGGCAATTTTGTTTTGATTTGTTCACTTCTGTTATTTTCTTGAGTCGACAGAGTACCGAAAAAAATCTTAACCTTTCAAAGTAAAGATAAGATTTGCGCACATACTATCTTCTCTAGACCCCACTAATTGTTGGATTTCGCTGGATATATTATTGTATTATGTACGTGGCTAAAATATCACTATTTTTCTATTAAAATTTTTCAATGAAAAATATTCAGTGGCCATTTCCACTTATATTTCGATTAAATCAGTGAGAAAATAATAATAATAATAATAATAATAATAATAATAATAATAATAATAATAATAATAATAATAATAATAATAATAATAATAATAATAATAATAATAATAATAATTCACATGCAAAAATTAGAAAGTTTCCAACTCTTCCGGTGTGAATTTGTTTCTCACCATGTGTTTTTTTAGTAAATTGATTTGATGAAAAATAGATGATGAAAACCATATTTTATAACACAAAAACAAAATTCTCATTGATTTGCGATGAAAAAAGTCTCTATTTCTAATAGTGATAGAATTTCTTTGATAACCAACATTAAATAGAGTTACCTACAATAATAGAAACTAATTGTTTAAATACTTTTGTGCATTGTATAGAATTTAACTTACCAAGGCAAGTGAAATGAGGAGGATGAGAGCAAAAAGTGATTTCATGT